TCACATCTGGGGGATCAGCGTGGGATTGATTCACTCTCCTCGCTTCATACTTCCACGCGCAACGGTGGATCGTGATTGACAATTAGAACCGAGACTTCGGCTGCAAAATCTACCGACAACCTAATTTACCTTGGAGACTGGACCAATAAACAGAAGCAACCTCTGTCACCGATCCAAGCAACAACGTCATCGATCCAAACACGGAAAAAATACATAATTACCATCTAACAGGTCCTATCCTGTCACTCTAGGGTAGATGGACAGTATTCACTTTCAGTGTGTTCATTCACATCTCGACAGAATTTAGCTCTAGCTCTGGAAAGCAACTTGTCTTCTGTGACAGGATGATGTCAATGAGTCGAAAAAGCTAGGCGAGCTTCCCTTGCTCCCTTCACTGTTTATGAGATCGACGAGAGCTTTCGAGACTCAAACGATCTACATCAGCATTTGTTGTCTAACCTGCTCTCACGATCACGAAAACCTCTTCCAACGATGTAAGCTACTTAGCCCCGACCTGAAAAACATACAGACGAGGAAGCACCTTTCATCCATTGAAATAAAACTAGCGATCAACCAAGGGATCGATTGAGGTATCGAAACCGTATTCTCCACAGACGGAGAGGTAGTGAAGTCGCATTAACCACACCACTCGATATTCACACGAGCACGAAAACCAAACGGCGCGAAAGTGATCAATCAAGAGAGAAAGAGAGATTCTCCTTCATCTGACGTCATAAAAACCTTCACTCTCGATCAACCGATAACTAATTCCACTGTGGTTTTTAAAAATGCGTTACAGATAAAAAGACGTCACCGATCCAACCACTGAAGTCACCGATCCGAACAAGGAGCTCACCGATCCTAACACCGAAAAAATACATATTTAGCGTTTGACAGACCCTATTCTTTCAGTCTAGGGAATATGAAAGCAGGCTATAAAGATGTAAAGAACGACGAGTCGGGAGTAACGTTCCGCAGGAGCGTCGACGACCGGCAAGGAAATACTCTTCACCCTTTAATAGTCTCTATTTTTTCGACTTCAACTCAAATCGAGGGACAAAGTGGAATAGGATAGATTTAAACAGCGGTGACTGACCGTGATGCAGTCTTGAGAGGATGGTGTATTGTGTTCAGAGCCTTTTGCTTGATTTTCATGGAGATAGAAACCGATGTTAACGTGCATCGATTTTTAGTCTAGGAACTACTGAATCGAAAGTTCATGAGCGTTATCTTATTTATTCGACTTGAAAAAAATCCGGTTCAAATGTTTTTTTCTACAGACTAGTCCGTGTCTGAAGATTCATCGCTACTTGTGGTTGATTCAGACACATCCTCCAAATTGTCTTTTGCTTCCAAAGTAATTTTTCTGTTTTCTGAGCTGATAACTTTAAAACGTGAATAAGGAACGAAGAGCCATTCATCTTCTGATGGAAAACATGAAATGTCTGCTATATTTCGTGCTTGAGAAATATCGGCGGGTACTCGAATTTTAAATAAAATATCACCAAAGCTTTCAGCTACGCTTCTATCTGTGGTTGTTGATGTAAAGCCTGGAAACCGAAATATCTTTCCAGGAGTAAAAAATCTCACTTGTTCTCTATTAAGATCCATACCACGATATACAACGCATGAATCGTCTGGTCCACGATGATTAATTTGATGGGTGGCTCTACGAATAAATGGCATTAAGTGTTCTAGCCTAGATTTTCTATCCTTCAGTAGTTGTTTGTTTACATAGCTGTAGAATGCTTTGGAACGATAACGATGTTCCGAAGTGTAAGTTTTAATTACATCATAGTCAGCTGATTCGTCCTTAATCATTCGGCACACTGGATGGGAGCGATCATCAATGCCATCCAAAGCGAGAAGTGAATCGATCACATCGTCATAACAAGGACAACTTTCTGTTCTATCATAATATTTGAGAAATTTACTCTTGTTAAATAGTTTTTCGGTAATGCCTGGTATCGCACTGTCGAATCTGTCGTACCTGCGACTTCCCATGCTATCTAGAAACAATTAATAGACTATTAGATATGCATAAAATACAACGATCAAACGATAGGAAAATCGGCATGAAGTACATGCTATACAGTATATAAACGACGTTGCATAAATTCGAATTTCGTCATAAAAATTTTGCTTTTTTATACTTTTCTAGAAAAAAAATCTGATATTTATAGTATATAATTGTCATATGGTCATATGGGATTTCTCTATATGACATCATCGTGTCTTTTTGTGTGTACCTTTGGATGTTTCCTTTCTTCCTATGGTGTTATCCATGCAGGACATATTTATATATACAGGGTGAGCCATACGTAACTTTAGGATAAAGAAATTGAATATCTCCCGATGTCCACTTATGTGACGCTGATTTTTTTATGGGTGATAGAGGAGCCTTTAGAGTTTTTATTGATGAGAAAACCGTAAATGAATACTCTTTCGAACTGATATAGATTATCACATCATGTAAGTGCAGCACTTTTCCGTTTCCAAAAAACGAGGAAGTCAAGCAATTTCTTCTATATTTTCTGTACAGTGACATCACACCGTGACACAAAAATCGTCAGCATGATCAGGGACGTGTGCACCTTTATTCTCTTACGTGCTGTTGACATCTTCGAATAGAACACATGTGCTTTCTCCGTTTCTTTTCGGTGTTTTCAAGTGCATTTCTTTTCTCTTTCTGCTTTCTACCTCCATGACGTCATAACGTTTCCAGAAGTTTGAAGTAGGCTCTAGCTCACTTAGTTTCTCTCGTATATACTGTGGACCTCAATTGATTCGCACCCCTAGCAATTTTTGACGTTACTCTAGTATAGTTTGGTTCCTATGAGAGAGCGATGTATAGAAAGAAAGAGCAGCCTCGACCGCATCGAATGGTATACAACACAGGTATATCCGATCAAAATTGGACGCTGGACAGAGCATGAAGAAAAAAGATGATTTTTTCTCACTACATTCCACAACAAGACTGCATCTATCATCTTTCTGACTTCTCTATAAGCATCCAAATGCATAAGAAATCATTTGTTATCTGAATCTTCTGACGCTCCTTCTAAAAAACAGTAATTCCAATAATAAAAATAAAACGTGCCAAGGGCTTTCTAACAGTAAAAATGACGCTAAGCTGTGGATTGAAGCATTGTCACGTCAACGAACGAAGTTGAATGAAACATTGAATTTGCTCTGTCTAAGGGACCTATTCTTTCTTTTTCGCTCGTCTGTTTCTTCGTCCAGTTCAGAACTGGACGAACAACCTTCCTATACAAATACGCGTGACAAACAGGATAATCGAATAATATCAATGGTCACTGGCCACTATTTCCTTCTAAACCTGCTGTGTATTCTCGCAATGACGAAGGGACATGAAAAATATACCGCGTCGTTTAAGAACAATGTTTTACAAGAATATCGTCGTGGAATTCATGGGTATGGATTCGAATCCTTAGCAAAACGCTTTAAAATAAAGGGTGGTCATACACTGATCGCACAGTGGTATCGTCAATGGGACGGCACAATTGGATCTTTGGAACGGAAATTAGAAGGTGGTCGGTCGCGCTCAATGACAAAACAAGAAGTAACGCGTTACCTTTTGAATTTCGTGAAGAGGAAGAATATGCAGTACAAACCGGTTGATTACAGAACCGTTCAATCACACATTGAGACTTCACTGCACCGCAAGGTCCCTTTAAGTACCATTCAGATATACGGAAGAAAAGAATGTGGCATCAAAAGTAACCACACTAATGAGATGACCCCGAGAGACCATAAGTATCCTGCTCTCCTAGTAAGAGCATCGCATTCTTGCGACTCGAAGTTTGAAATGTGACACAGTCATATTTTCTTTTCGTAGTTGATCCTGGATATTGGATGGAGATCGCGAATTTTCGAAGGTTCTTACAGCGCATTGGAAATGATAGGTTGATATTCTTCGATGAAACAGCTGTTTATTGTACCATGTACCCCCGTCGAACCCTTGTCACTCCAGGACAACAGGCTTTGATTATCGTTGACAAACCATCGGCTTACGCTTCACGTTATGACCTGATTGGTGCGATCATTGGGTCACAACCAATTACTTGCATGGTTCTAACACCAGATGATCGAAAGGAAAAAGATATCAAAGGTGTCCGAAAACACATTGTGAACGACTGGATTTTGAAAAAATTAGCACCGGCAATCAACCGACTGGCTATTGACAATGTATATCTGATATGCGATAAGAGTCGAGCTCATAACAAACTAGATATGATGCAGGCTTTTAAAGACGCTAATTGTCCATCGGTGATCGGGATCCGTTATATACCAACTGCATCAGCAAAGTACATATCTCCATTGGATAATCCAATATGGCATTCTCTCAAAGAAACTCTTCGCGGACTTCACCCGATCACTGCGAGTAACCTTCCGAAGCTACTTTCAAAAACTTTCTTTTCATTGTCACGCACGGAAATCAGAGGCGCTTATCGAAAGTGCGCCATCTCATATGGAGCTGACGTTTTCTACGACTAACCTGATCGATAAACAAGTCATTTCTTTCAATATAACTTAGATACATTATCGAATGTGGCGAAAAAAAATCATCTTTTTTCTCCATGTTGTGTCCAGCGTCCAATTTTGATCGGATATACCTGTGTTGTATACCATTCGATGCGGTCGAGGCTGCTCTTTCTTTCTATACATCGCTCTCTCATAGGAACCAAACTATACTAGAGTAACGTCAAAAAT